GCCAATTAAATAATTTTATACAAATTGAATGCACAGCAGAAACTGAAATGTTTCAATGATGTGTGCTACATCCTCCAAGTACAGAAAGAGGAATAATATATTGTAGCAAGAATAGCTGCAGCCAGGTAGTGCTATTATAACATTTCAAAATGTCTGGAATCTGACTTATTGCCAAGTAGGCTTTTAGAAGAGAAAACAAGCATCTGATTTTAAAATGATATTTACTTTTTATTAATACATTTGAGTAAAAATATTAGTTTGAATTCTCTCCCTCCCCCCATAAACATACTTCCCTAAGAGCTTATATTAAGCAGCAAAGAACTCCACTTATTTAGGGAAATATATTGAAAAATGGAGATACTTCATATTGTTTCAAAGATACAAATATAAAATCTGATTATCCTGATATTTTTATTTAAAAGTATTTTTATCATCATAATATATTCAGTAACATGAAGGTTTCTTGAGCTACTTTGCAGCATTGAATGCAACATCAGCAAATATAATACTAGCATTTTACTTATATTATTTTATGTATCTGGATTACAAGCTAATGTCCTATGATGTATAAAAGGAGCTTTGAAAACATCTTGCCGTGTGTATGCTTTTTCTTAGTTTATAAAGTTTCAAGTTATAAATTTATAAAATTACTATAAAAATAAAAAGAACCAAATATAATACTCATTCTTGTTGAGTAGTTGCATACCATAGTTCTTTGATTTTTTTACTACTGACATGTAATTGAATTCCAATGACATCAAAACTAGGTAGTCTCACAGTACTTTCCTGTAGTGTACTTTCCGATTATTTAAAAATAAATATTGCAAATGGTTTAAAAAACCAAGCTGATATGCAAAAATTGAGTATAAGAATTTTAAATTAAAAGCACTGAGAAGAGACTGCACAAAATAATTATAAGAACATTTTGAGAGAAAATGCATTGTGAAATATAAAATGCTTAAGAAAAAAATCTGCAATTTGCATTAAAAAAAAAATAGATCTGAAAGCCTGAACTCTATTACTAACATGTAGGGCGCAATAATAACAGTGATGGTCATGTAATCATACCCTGGGAGTGTCGTAAGTTCTCACTATAAGACTGCCTGCTGGAAATATTTTGCACAAAGGAAGAGACACTTCTCCAGAAGGAACAATAAAGATGATTAATCTGGCAGACAAACTACTGAGTGGTAGGTTTCAACAGCTTCATGTGACTCTAAAATTGCCTTGTTGATTTAAGACAGCAAGGATCTGCTTAGCACACTTCCTTTATGAAGAAAGGATAACAGTTAATACACCACAAAGAGAATCAATATTAAAGAATTGTTTAATATACAGAAAGTCATACAAATTATCACTGCTTGAAGTGGCCATATGAGGCCATCACCAACAACCACAACTGGATTATATATTTCCTCAACCAAATGATAAATGATTTCGGGGTAGTGTGTTAGGATAGCCAGAATTTTAAATATCAAATATTTTAAAACAAAATGTAGCATGAGACAGAAACAGCAAACATAATAATACTATCCTGTGGTGAAAACAAATGGATCTCCATTTTCAGAGTTAGCTACCAATTGGCTTATGTATGATATTATACCCTTCTGACACTTAGGACACTCCTCTTCTAAGGTCAGGCAGGCCTCCTGAAATGAAGTTACTAAAACAAAGACAAAACAGGGAAATTCAGCCTTTTCTTTTGCCTGGGATTCATTTCACATATATTGGTGACTGTTATGGCAGATTTTGGCAGCTTGATTAAGTGTCTTAAAACCTACACCACTTATCGCTTGGTAACGTGATCCTTGTGTTCAGAAGAAGGATTGCTAAACTGTAAATCACTGTCACCAGTCCTCAGACATGAGCATAGGACAAGTGAGTTGCATAGAACCAGTGTATGTGAGACATCCCTGTGCTTTGCTGTATTCTGTTGTGTCCTCGCATAGCAATAAGACAGACTACTTTTCCATCCTCCTACACAGTAATCAAATCACATTTGCCCTTTTAAAAAATTAATAGAATTGGAATAAATACATAGACCTACCTTTTTTATTCCCTATTATCATCCTCTACTAGTTTTCATGAAACACAATTTTTCAGAGAACAAGAAGGCAAACCAGGTGTTAGATTATTTATGTTTGACAAATTCATATAATTTAAATAATTAAAACTAATTTGTGTTGAGAGCTACAGTTGCATTTTTATTAGAGAAACAAGTACAAATAGGCATCACTACAGAGCTGTTTATTCAATAATGAGATTAAATGAAATGGATTTTGTAGTCTCAATACTTTGATTAATGTGGCAATTGGAACTTCTGTGCCCTAACAATGTGGAAACAGCTGCTTACCCACTATAAATCTGTGAACTTTTCTTCTTTAAAGCTACATATTTTTAATTATCCCTAAAAATATATTGTAAGCAAAATACTGAATGTTTTATGTTTAAACAATATTTACATTATAAGCCTGAAATTATACTACTTTTTAATTTAATT